GTGTGTGTAGTATAGTATATAATATATATATATATATATATATATATATATATATATATATATATATGCATGTATAATATATGTATATGTATGTATATGTATGTTTGTATACAGTTGTATACATGTTTATGTATGTATATATGTATGTATGTGTGTATTTATGTATGTATGTATTCACTACTACATCATCGAGTGTACGACTACGACAGTATTATACCCCACTAGGTCACTAGACATTGCACCTATAGACAAATGCCGAACCAACCTTGGGTATACTTTCGTTCTGCCTTTCAAGTTTTGCTATCTTCGATTTGAGACGTTGCACCTCAGCGTCATGCACAAGGGCGGCCTGGCGCAGTTTCTGTGTATTTCCATTGTGAAGCCAAGAGATGCTAAGCAGCGTTTAGTAGAATACGAGTATATAAGTGCAAAGCTATAATGCGATATAAAGTAGGTCTGTCTAGTATAGAATAATGGACTGTACCGTGGGATTTGGTATCATAGGCGTTCAAATTTTTATGTTTGTGATAGGGTACGTGGAGAAACCAGTGGCAGTGCTAATAGTTGAGAGTGAACTCGTTGAATGCACGGCCAATATGTATTTATACACCCAACCGAGTCCCCCATGCATGACCTGGAGCACGAGCACCGAGGGTTAACTGCGGCTCTATCTTGGCGAGTGTGTGGTGAGGCTCCTACTGAGAAAACGTTTCACTGGATAATGTGTCAGTGGTGTGTATAGAATATTATTCTCAAGCGACGATACTCTGCCTAACTGCTATGTAGTTGACCACGTTCGCTTTATGTATAGCCACTGTATCGGGTCCGTGCTCCCCAATACACGGAACTCTGTAAGACATCCTTTGTGACTTCCGCGCACGCATTATGCTATCAACGGTTTAAAGCACGCTCTTGTATCTATTGTTTTGAGTTATCTATTACAGCTGCTTCAATTTCCAATGTTCCTGATCCTTGCTACGATCTACATACTGTATCCCATTTATAGGTATATTGGTACCGTGCATAGATAACAGTTGCCTGGCAGTTAGGCATTCTCGACATTGCTCATCGCGAGATTGATCCATCTAGTCGTGTTGCAAGTGTACCAATCCGTCGCCATGTACATACCATAAAAAATCATTCAGCCGTGTTTACCGCTAAAGCAAATATAGAACCATTGATCCATACGTGTGTATACTCATTTTTGAACTATTTTATTCACTTTATGTGACCTGCAGTGAGTTCTTAAAGCATATAGACAGTATACTGATAATTTATACTTTCACACACATATGTAAGCTTCCAAATATGACATGCACGTGATTGTAATAAATGCTTGGAAATCATATCAGTACCCGTTTGCAGACTCCCTCATAGAAGGCGGAGGCATTCTTTCCGGACTGCTCCGTCTCTGTATAATTAGATTCTGCTGCTGTTCTTGTTTCCTGCTGCGCTTTGAGCTTCTTCTCATACTTTTTCATACATGGAAAGCAGTGGCATGCGGTATTAAAAAACTTAAGTGTTGCACGTTGTATGCTGGGTACAAAAATGGACAACCATCGTAACGAACTGGAGGTGCATCAAAATTGATTTTG